CGCAGTCGGGGCTCCCATTCGTGCGGGTGCCGGTCAGCTCCAGGCCCAGCTGGTCCACACACCAGCAGTCGCCACTGCTCTGGTCACACTGCATCTTCCGGTAGTAGCCGTCCTCGTCGCAGCTCGGGATGAAGACTCCTGGGGGGCCAAGAGGGGGCCCTGGAGCCTGGGACTCAGGCAGGGGTCCAGCCCCCACCAGCCCAGGTACCGACCACCCGACAAGCCCAGATGCCCATGTTTCTTCCAGCTCCACTGACCAGAGATGAGAAACTCCACCTCTCTCAGCGACCTGCTCGGGCCCCTCGACGGCTCCAGTCAGCCTCCGCCCCCTCCTCAACTCCGTGCCCCAGTCTCATAGGTTGGCCGGTCTGATGTCCTCATGCTCAGTGCCCTCCACCCCAAGGGGCTCCTCCATCCTGTCTGTCCCCCGCTGGCCATGCCCACACTTCTCTCAGCCCCTGTCACTCTGACCTGGCTTCAGGGCCCACCCACGTTCCCTCAGGCTACGGAGCTGCTTGCTGCTCCTCTGTCCACTCAACAGACATCTTCTGAGACCACCCACACATAGAAATAATGATACCAGGCACCACAGGATGGGTGCCCGAAGGCCCAGCAAGCAGGCTTGGAACACACACTGGAGAGGACTGTGGTGGCTTCCTGCTATAAGCGGCGCTGAAGTCCACCCGAGGCCACGGGCTTTTGGTCAATATGGGTTTGCGGCATGGTTCCAGTGTTCGTTGTCACATGTACTGGTCTCACCAGCCCAGCTCAATGCCAAGCTGCTCTCAAGGAGCTAGGAGGCCCTACGTGATCTGTTTCTCAGACTCCTTGTCACCTCAACCACCACACTCCAACCACATGGGACCTTTCTTTCTGTTCCCCCAAAACCTCGAGCATTTTCCTGCCCTCAGCTCTGCGCTCGGCTGGCTCATCCGCATCCCTCAGGCCTCCCCTTGGAAGCCACAGCGCAGAGAGGCTGTTGCTGAGCCCCAGGTTGACTTATGCCCACCTGAACTCCCCCTCAGCACCCCACATAACCAGCCGCAGCAGGTGGGTGTGCCTCCTTGGTGTGTGCTGTGCCCCAGGTAGCCTGTGTGCTGTATGAGGCCAGTGACCGAGTCTGTGCTGCTCGTCAGTTCTGACCTGGGCGGGCTCCCAGGTACTCGCTCACAGTAGTGTCTGCTGCGGGGGAGCTGGGGGTGGGGGAGGGGGCTCACTCAAGCTCTGCACTCACCTTGCTGAAGTGAATAAAATGGAGGGTTCTAGGAGCCATTTATAAAAGGCCAACCTCCAGCTCCAACAGGGGTAGGCAAAAATTAGTGCTGCAAACACGCTCACTGAGGGGCTGGCTGGGAGACCCTGCCCCACCACGCAGGTGAAAACTGGAAGGGAGCTTCCCTCTCCTGTCTTCCTAGACCAGGTCTCCTCTGGGCTCAGCACCCTCCCTAACACCCAGGGACTGGGGCCTCTGGGTCTCAGAGGGACCCTGGGCAGTCCTCCCTGCCTCCTCCTCTGAGCCCAGCCCAGCGCTCACCTGGCTTCTTCTTGGCAGCCTCCTGGATCTGGATGCGCTCCAGCTCCATCAGGCAGGGGGGCTCTGCGGAGAGAAAAGCAGCCTCTGAGGGGGCCATCCCATGGGGCTGAGAGGATTCACTGTGCCCACCCCGCCCAAGGCTTAGAAACCCAGGCAGGGGCTCTGCAGGATGAAAACAGCCAGGCTCAGATCTAGAGCCACCCCAAAGTGGTGGGGGGATACACTGACCCCTATAATGTCCCCAAAATCGACACAGGGGTACCATGAGACCAAACACCCAGGCTCCAACTGGGGGAGGCCATTCATGGCTGTAGGGGAGGCTGAAGTCCCCAAGAAGCCAGGGCTCTCTGAGGGTGTGGGTGACGCATGGGGTGTGTAAATAGGAATCAAGAGGAGTGAGTGCACACGCTTCCCAGGGCAAAGGCCCCGGGCCAGCATAAGACAAAAGGGGATGTTAGTGAGAAGCCTGGAAATAACTGGAAGCCAAATCTAACTGGTCTGTGACCTTGAGAAGCTAGCCCTTCCAGGCTGGAGGCCTGGCTGATGGTAAAATGAGATCTGTTCCCAGGCTCCTGCCCAAGAAGGCTGGTATACAGAATCGGCGGCATGAGCTTCAGAGGCCTGGAGAGTAAAGGCGAGGGAGAGATGCAGACAGCAGGCCGGCTGGGCAGTTTGGGGCAATCGGACTGATCAAAAGACCTGGAGGCGGAGGGATTTGTCATGTACACCATGCTCTGCACCCAGATTTTCTCAGTTCATCCTCACAACAGTCTCTGAGGTGGGTATTGTTATCTCTTGATTCAAATGAAGACACCAAACCCAGAAAGGTTCAGTTACCTGCCCAGGGTCCCAAACCAGCACACAGTGGAGCCCTAGCAGAAGCCTGAGCCTCGGGCCACCGGTGCTATACTACTTTTACCCCAAGACCACCGAGGAGCCAGATAGGACACCAGGGCCTATCCCAGGGGCTGGGCCGGGCAGCTGACCGCTTGGGATTTCAATTTCCTCATCAAGGACAGGTGCCACTTGGATTAGATGATCTCTGGCACATGTCTGGCTGTGATTCAGCAAATGACACAGTATCTTTAAGGCTAATGATCGCCTACATAATCACATATTTGGGACAAATAACGTGAGATGCACCCAAAAGTGAAGTCACAGAGAAGCCAAAGTTGCATTAGCTTCAGGGCCCTTCAGCCCCTTCCAAGACCCTCCAAGGGTCCCTAGAAATGTTACATTTATAGTTTTTAACACTTTTTTTAAGAAGGCCTCCAAAAGTTCACAAGCTTCAGGACCCACACAATCTGGATCCACCTTAGAGCCTGCCAAGGAAGGGAGTTTATGTTGGCTTCACTGAGAAAGTAGAGGAAGTGGGTGAGCTGGGAAAGTTCTGGGGCCAGGTAGCTGACCAAGACAGAGCCACTCTGACTCCCAAAGAGAGTCTGGAGCAAGGGGAAGAGTCCGAGAGGGCCAGGGGCCCCAGCCAGCAGCCACACTCACTTTCCCTCCAGAAGCAGAAGCACCACTCAGCGGTGGAGACTCGGCCATCCTTGTAGGTGTCGCAGGAGTTGAAGAAAGGACGGATGCAGACCTCATACTTGTCCAGGTTGATGGCAGCCAGCTCCATCTGGTCCAGGAAGAGGTCAGCACTGGTGTCCAGCTTGGAGAACATCCAGCCGATGGAGTCCTTGCAGCTGGCCCCCAGGATCTTGTCCAGGCCTGGAGGGGAAGACCAAGGTTCCGACATGCTCAAGGTAAAGAGCTCCATCCATCCATCCATCCATCCATCCATCCATCCATCCATCCATCCCTCTACCTTTCCATCAGCCCCAGTTTCTGTCCAGGGTCAGATCCATCCCTCCTCCTCCACCTAGGACTGCACTTAAACCATTCAAAACCCTGTTTAAAAGCCCTTCAGAGAAAATAATTCCTTACCTTCCCTCGGCTACATTTCAAGGCTTAAGCTGCCCCCACCCATTTTAAGAAGTTCTTCCTATCAGCTAACCCAAATCCCTTCTGTCTGGGTGAAGCGCCTGATTCTGGGGTTCAGGCTCTTTTAGGGGATCAGAGTCTGGCAGGAGGGAGCACAAGGCGAGCTGGCCCCAGGGCACACCTGTCTCCCCATCTCCCTCCCGCCTCCCGGGCAGAGCAACTGGCTCCTGTACCACTGGCCGGGCTGGCTCCGCTGCTGGCTGAGCTGTTCTGCTTGGAGTTCTCGTGGAGGAGCTGGAACCAGTCCCGCAACCGATCCCCCAGGTCGGCCAGGTCCTGCCCCGTGCAGGTCTCTGCAGAACAGGGAGGGGTGGGGGGTGAAGGGGAGCGCAGCGGCAAGCACCATCTGAGCATGGGACGCTGTCTACAGGCCAGGAGGCGGGCAGCCGTCAGGGCTGCAGTAGCAGGGGAGTTAGAAATTAGAGGCTCCCTCTCCCACTCTCTCCCATCTTCTTCCTCTCCCTCACTCCCTAGCACTAAACACACAGCGCAGGCTCCCTGTGGCTGAGGCCCAGCCCTCGTGCTCTGTGTTAACCAGCCCCCCACCCCCCCAGGCCTGTCCTGGTTTTCACCACTTCTCCCTTGCTGCTCTGCAAACCTCTCTTACCATCCTGGAGCCCTGGCAGTGCGACCCACCCCACCCACCCCATCCTGGCTGCGGCCCAGCACTCATTACCTGGTCTGCTATCCGTGGTGGAGGTGGTGGCGATGGTGGCCTGCTCCGTGGGGCAGGGGCAGGGGCCCTCACATCTTACTGCCAGCTGCTTGCTGCTCAGGCAGGCCTGCTGCTCCAGCTTACACTGCACAAGACGAAAGGGCAGTGGGTGACGGGGCCTCACCCCAGGGGGCCCTGCAGCTGGGGGCACCTACATGGCAGCCACATCTGCCTTCTCCATTGCTGACAGGAGGACAGCGCCCGTGAACAGCCTGCCTGGTCCCTCTGGCGGCCACGGGTGCACAGCGCAAAGGGCGGCAGGCCCAGGAAGGGGGCTCTAGCAGTCAAAGGCACCTGTGGACCCACTGTGCACCAGCCTGCCCTCTGCACATTCATCTCTCTCCTCATTCTCTCACCCCCAGCCACCCACCACCTTGTTTAGCTACTGCCCACCCCACCTTGCCCTCGTAGTCTCTCCTCCCGCTCACCACAGTCCCTTGGTCCCTGGGTCACTGGCTGCTGGCCCCTCCCTCGATGGCCTTGCCATAGTCACATCCATGGGCTTTGCTCAGCTCTTTTGACAACAAACAGCTACCAGCTATTGAACATCTGCTGATTCCTGGGCCTTCGCTAAAACCACTCGCTGCAGCTGTGAGCTAAAGCCAGCTGCTGAGGGGGCGCATCCGTTCCTTGCCCTTAAAGCATTCCTTGTCCTTAAAGCGTTTCCCCCTGGTGGCGTCCGGTTTCTCCCTGCGGGGTGACCACTAATGAGAGGCGGGCCCTGGCACTGTTACAGCATTATCTCGCTTGGTCCCTTCAGCCCTGCAAGGGAGGAATTGGGAGGAATTGGATTTCTCATGCTCAGCAGAGAACATGGAAGCTCAGAGAGGCCCAGGGACCTGCCGGAGGCCACAGGACTGGGATGGAAGCCAGACCTCCTGATGCCTTCTACCTCCCCACAGGACAGTGCCACGACCCTCAGACCACAGCTACCTGCCCAAACCTCGCTGTGCCCATGGGAGTGCAACACAGCACCTCCCCCTATTCCTGTGCGCCCTCCAGCAGCCCCGCCTGTCTCCTTTGTATCGGTCCAGCCTCTGGCCTCTGTGCAGCTCCTGGCCCCAGCCTCTAGTTTTATTCTCTCTCCCCTCCCTCCCTTAAATGGGTGACTTCATCTCCTCCCAAGCTTCATTCATCACCCAAGGGGGGGAGGTTGACCGGTTCTTAATTCTGCATGTCACTCCCAAAGGGTTCTTAAGCCCTAGACCCCAATCCAAGCCAACAGTCAGTGCCCTCCAAACCCCAGCTCCTCATTGCTGGCAGAAGCATTCACGATTAGCACCTGCACTTCCGTGGCATTTTAATGTTTATAAAATACTTTCACAAATATTGTATCATCGAATCCTCACAAAAATCCCATGAGGTGGGAATTCCTTGCAATCACTGCTACTTCCCACATCGTCAACTCATGGGAGGTATTTCCTCCTGCCCTAGAACGCCCAGCACTTGCTGGTGACCACCACCCCCTCCAGCAGAATCTGCCCTCCACCCTCAGTCACTGGACAACAGAGCCCCTTCCCTCCACTGCCCTCGGGGCTTTCAGGAGGCCCTTCCTCCTTTGTTCTAACTTGCAGTTCCCTGCCCACCTGCCTCTTCCACGCCCCAGCCCTTCTCTGCACCTGCCTGAGATTAGGGCCAGTGTCTGGTGCAAACTCTCAGGTAGCCACAGCCCAAGGCTCAGGTATCCCTACTCTGACTGGCTACACTGACTGCACTGCCGAGAGCCCTGCTGGCCCCCATCAGCCCTGGGGTGCCTTAGGAGGCCCTGCTGGCTATTTAGTCCTCTCTGAACCATGTGGCCTCAGGCACGCCCACCCCCACCCCACCGGGGCCACGGTTCCTCACCACAGAGCTGTAAGTGTGGCCGTCAGAGCCGCAGACGGAGGCAAGATGGGCCATGTGGCAGGGCTTGCAGGCGGTATCTTTGTTTGCATGGAGTTTCAGGGCAGGCTGCTTGACCCTACAGGAGGAGAGGGGTGGGGAAGGCACACGGACAGAGGTAAAAATGAGAGAGGGACAGGGAAAGGGAAGGTTCAGGAGACCGGTTCCAACAAGAAGCTGGTCCTGGCAATTGTAGTAGATGCAGCCGTCTCCCTGGCCCTGCCACCCTCCATCACCTCCAGCCAGACCCTCCTGCTACTCATATGGGAGGAACCAACTGGGCAGGATATAGACTCCAGCTTCCCCTTTGCTGGGGTTACTGAGTCAGCGGGGCCTTCAGGCAGCAATTCCAGACTGTAAGATGTGAAAGGAGTCACACTTTGCTTAGGGGGTCAGACCAAGCCAGAGGCTGCAAACTGATGGCTCTCAGGCCTTATCTGCCCTAAGACTCATTTTTTTTAGCCACCAAAGGTCTTTTTTTTAATTGAGTTATATACAAAATAGAAGAGTTCACATAAAAGTCTGGGTTCCTGGCCTTTCTTGGTAAAATGAAAGGTGTGGCAGGCCTGGCCCCACCTTCCCACACAGCCCCAATCAGCCAGTGCCCCTGCCACAGGGCCTGGGCTCACAGAGTGGTCCATCACTGCACCCTCTTCACAAATTTACACTACCTGCTGGGCCTCTGCAGGCATCTAACACTGTAACCCTAAGTCTCTGGTCTCCAATTCTAAGATTCAGGAAAAGAGGGGAGGCAACTGGGACCTTTTCTGGGCATCCTGGCACCTGGCAGAGTCTTGTCCTTGGAATAGAGTTAAGGCCTCAAATGCCCCTCATCTCTTCCTCTCCTCTGCAAGCCTCAGAAGCTAGAACCTGAAATGTCTCATGAAGTCTTTGCATGTCAGAGCTGGAAGGAACCTCAAACAATCTGGGCCAACCTATCTGTCTCACAGATACAGACACCAAGGCCCAGAGATGAGTCATGACTTTCCCACACGTCTGGTGATTGATCTCTCCCAGTGTGGTGACTTTAAATTTGTCCACAAATTCTCTGACACTCCTTCCTTCAAAAGATGGAGCTGAATTCCCCTCCTCTGGAGAGTGGCAGTACTTATGACTCGCTCCTAACAAATAGAAGTGGCAGGTGTAACAATGTATGATTTCTGAGGCTAGGTCATAAATGACATGTGGCTTCCTCCTTGCTCGCTCTCTCCCTCAGATGACTAGCTTTGGGGGAAGCCAGTTGCCATGTTGTGAGGACATTCAAGTTCCCTATGGACAGGTCCACATGACTAGGAACAGCTATGTCAGGAGCTTGGGGGTGAATCCTCCAGCCCCAGTCCAGCCTTCAGATGATGCAGCCCCAGCCAACATCTTGGTTGTAACCTCATGACAGACCCTGAGTGAGAACCATTGGACAGAACCAGATTCCTGACCCTCATAAAATGTGAGCTAACACACATTTGTTGTCTTAAGACACTAAGTTTTGAGGTAGTTTGTTTCACAGCAATAGGTACGTGATACACAGGAGAGGTTCAATTAAGCCCTTGCTCTTAAAGCAAACCCTCTCCAGGGCTCTCACCTCCCCAGACCCCTTACCTGTGCTCCAGCTTCTTGCGGCTGATGCACATGGCCCGCTGGAAACCCTGGGCGATGCACACCTTGTGACGGCTGCACTTCACCTTCTGGCAGGGGTCCTTGGTGGTGTCCAGGGCTGCAGGGACACATGACCAGAACTCAGGTCAGCTGGGAATCGGTGCCAGAGATTCCAGGAGACCCCAGCCTCACTGAGCTCAGAAGCCCCTGTCTCCAGCAGCTCTTGATAACCAGAGCTCCTCAGCTCCTTGGCTGCCCAAGGAGCCCCCAAGGCCAGGGTCAGGACTTGCCCTCTGGCCTCAAGTCTTCCTGGGTGTCAGTCACCTTCCCCAACCTGGGAGGGCATGTTACCTTCATCTCCTCGCTGATTGTCCTCCCAGCTCTTGATGTAATCGTCCTAGGAAAGGACAGAGGGGGTGAGGAGAAGGGAAGGGCTAAGATTCGCATCTCAGAGCGGAGGTTCAACTCCGGGGCAGGGAGAGGACACCACTGGCCACTCCTTGCACACATAAATTGTCACTATCTTGGTGGCTGCCCAGATGACCCCTGTCCACCCAGGCCCTGACAACTGCCTCCCCCAGACCTCTATCCCCCTAAACACATGTTCAGAATCCCTGCCAGCTTCTCCCATAAACTCATCCCACCCCCACCCCCAGCCCATCCCACATTGGACGCTACAGGGAAGAAGTCAGGGCGAGGGTGCTAAGAGAGAGGAGGGGAGAGTGGAGTATGTGGCTGCAGAGAGACCGTATGCAGGGGGGCCCCAGGCAGCACTCACCTCCACCTCCTGGGGATCAGGAAGCAGCACCAGCCACAACAGATGAAGCAGGAGGAGAGAGGGAGAGAGGGAGATTTCAGTGTGAGGCCCACCCTCAGGCCATGAGATCCAGGGCTCCCCGGCCTCTTCACGTGGCTATGGGCACTGTGCAATGGCCTTTGATTGCTATGGTCCTCTGACACTTAGAACCTCTAATTGGAGGCCAGTATTCCTATGTCTTCACTTTGGACAGCTTAAGACCTGGGCCCACTTAGGGCCAGCCCCAGGAGCAGTGGGAATGAGGCCCATGGCATTGAAAGGGCGACATCTATCCCTCTCCTGCAGGCCCTAAAGCTGTTCCTAATGGCCCAGCCCTGTCCCCATCATTAGGACAGATGTCCAAGGGGCCCATGCTACCTGAGAAAAGTGATTCTCACACCTGTGCCTGTGTGTCCCAGAAACACCACTCTCTCTCTGTGAGGGCGCCTCCCTTGGCATCCCCTCCCTGACACTTGCCCACCATGTAAGTGAGACAGGAGGAGGACCCTCCCCCCCCTTCTAGGCTGCACGGGAACTGTTTTATACTCAAGGTCTGACTTTTCTGCAGAGTTCAGATGGGGCACTGAGAGAAAGAGGGGCCACGGTCCCTCCAAATGTTGATGGTGTCCTCAGTCACCACAGTCTAGCTACAAATCCTCAGACATGAAGGATCCTGAAAAGGGCCTCTGAGGTCATCTGGCCCAGCTCCCTCTGTGTGCAGGAGAGGCCGGAAAGCCCAGAGATAGGAAATGACCTGCTTGCTCCAGGTCCCACCATCACAGAACCCAGGTCTCCTGACACCCAGCACCAACCTGTCTTTCTGGCTACAACACACAGTCTCCAAGACATAAGGCACATGGGAGATCACTTCCCACCCTGCTCTGACCACAAGGGTCCGCGGACACCAGAGTGGCAGGAGGCAGAGCAGCTCCCACTCAGTCTGACTCACTGGCATGAAACTCCCAAGACATCTGGTTTCCCCACTTTCCTCTATGGGGTGGAGGCATTGCTGAAAACTGGCAACGGCTCCCAAGGTCTCCTGGCAGAAACTCTGCCGGGCAGGCAGAAGGAGGGCTCTCAGGACTGGAGGCTGGCAGTGCCAAGGAGCCAGCTGCTGGCCTCCTCTGGATGGAGGTAGAGGGGCAAGAGGAGCCACACACAACTGCCCACCTCACCCTGAGTCCCTCCACCCAAGGATCAGAGCTGTGCAGGGATGAGTTGGGGTCAGGGTGGGAAGGGGCCAGATGTCTGTCAGGCCTGGGGAGAAGGGCATGGGGCTCCTGTATCATAGGGCAGCCACATGGGGGCAGCAATGAGCACAAAGGAGGGCATCCACACTGCTCTGGGGCCTCTGAAGTCTCCCCTGGAAGTTGACTGGCATCAGAGGAACAGGCAGGGGCAAGGGCCTCAGCAACTCAGCCGTCTAGGCAGAGGCCAGAACGTGGCCAGGGCCGAGCAGGCAGCTGGGATCAGCACCCAGGTAGAGTGCCTGTGGTCAGGTGTGCACTGCACAGGTGTATGCAAGTATGCGTGCAGGTCCTCGTCTCAGCATGTGTGCATACGCATAATATGCATACACGTGTAAGCAACAGTAGGAACCAAGGACACTTCCAGGCAGCTCACCCAATGCCAGATGGCTTTTATGCAGGAACAAAGTAACAAAGCCCACTTCTACTAATAGCCTCCAGTGTTCACACTTGAGCACCAAGGCCTTTCCTCCCCTCCCTCCTCTCCCTCCCCTCCCTGGCTTGGTCTTCCTGACTCTTCCACAGAGAGAGGGTGAGGCAGGCAGGGGAAGGAAGGGAGGCAGGCAAGAAATCAGCTGACCTCTCCCTGGGAGGAGGGTCTGGCTTGCACCAGCTCTGCTCTCGGTCTTGCTTTCACGTGCACCTCTTTGTTCATATCCCTCTATGTCTCTCTCCCCTTTCACTCTGCCCATACCTGCTCCCACTCACATGTCCAAGCAGCCAAGTGTCCTGCTGTCCTTGAGCCCAGGAGCAGGCAGGAGAAAAGCTTCAAAAGGGGCTTCCAGAGAACTCGGCCTGGGAGGTCCCCTGGGCACTGACCAGCCCAGGCTCCAGGCTCCAGGCTCCAGGCTCAGGCACCCACCCAATTCTACAGGGCGAGACCTGAGCCCCCTTAAGTCCCTGGGCAAGCTTCTGAGGAGATTGAAGGGTAGGAAACTGAAGCACAATTTCCCTCATTTACTAGGGCCAAAGGAAGCCACCCCAGACCTGGCCCTTCCTCTCCAGGAACTTCTCAGGGTCGAAGGGTCCTCTCCTGGTATCCACTCCACCCAGATGGGAAATGGAGGCAGAGAGTGGCCAGGTGGCTCAGGCTGGAGTTACAAGGTTGGGGCAAAAGTAGGGACTGTCTTCCATCAAACTGGGGTCTTCCCAGCTGCTCCATCATTCCCTGGGAGGGGAGTGGACATGAGGCTGTGAAGAGGACAGGGGAAGTGGCTGGTGTGAGTCACCTGTCCCCAACCCACAAGAACCCACCTGCACCTGAACTGGAGCAGGGAGGGGACCTGTGTGTCAACCAAGGGCCCCCATGCCTGCTCATTCCCACACTCTCACCCTACCCACTGCCCTAACCTCCAACCAGGCTGGCAGCAGAAGCCTTTAGGACTCAGTACAAAGTGGGCTCCCGAAGGTCAAGGCCAAGAATTTGATTAGAAATCCAAGGAAAGTGGGGTGGAGGAAAAAGGAGCTTTGAAAAGGAGATTTCACCATCCAGCTCCTTTGTCAGAGCCCTGGTGGGGAGCTATCTGCACCCTCCCAACTCCTCCCCTGATTCAGCCTGCAGGGGTTGAGTGCCCGCTGTATACTAGCGCTGTCCTGGTTCCGGCTAAGCTATCTCCACTGTGGTGGGAAGGGTGGAGGGAGGCCTGAGTGATCCTGGATCCCAGGACCCTCACTCCCAGGAGAATGGGAATAGCTGACCAGAGAGGAATGAGGAGGGGAGAGGGCTCTGGAGTCACACAGAAGCCCACTGCTCCCCTTGCCAGCTCACGCCAGGCAAGCACCCTGGCCTGTAGGAGCTCAGCACCTACCTTCTGGGACAACTCAGGAATTAAAGAAGATGGTGTCTGTGAGGTGCCTGGTGTCCAAGCACTCAGCAAATAGAAGTCATCAGAGCAGCAGAAGAGAGCATGAGCTCTGTGCAGAGGAAACGGTGGGGAATGAGAAAATAGATAGAAAGAGGCCACAAGAGGAGCCCCTGGAGAGAAGGGAGGCACCAGGGGGACAGCAGAGACCAGTGTGATGTGAGGAGTCTCCCGCAAGGGGTGTCTGAGAAGGGGTAAAGAGGATGTCCTGTGGGCAGCATGGGGGCAGGGCCCAGGCACACACTGGGGGGGCCCCTCTGAGGTCGGATGTGGGCTGGCCCATCTATAAGCTGAAAAGGGGGTTTTTGTCAGCAAGTATGAATTACGCCTTCCCTGCGGCAGTGTCTGTTTATGGCACCCAAGTGGGCTCATTAGCAGTTGTGAGAAATGGTCTGATAAAGACAGATCTGTCCTGCTTCTGCTACTGTGGACTGTGTTTCCCCCAAGAAAGGGGAATCTGCTCTGGAGCTATGGCCAGGGCAGCAGGGAGATGGGTCACAGGCTGAGACCCAAAGTTCTGGGCAAAGGCCCAGCTTGTCTACTCTACCTGGTTATCTCACCTGGTTAGTTCAGCCAGCCGTGCCCATCCCTGCACACAATGGTGCCCAGCACAGTGCAGGTGCATAGAAAACATTTGCTGCTTTTAAATGAAGTCCTCTCCAAATATTCCCCCATTACTGAGGCTCAGAGAGGCAGAGCAACTGGTCAAGGGTCACAAGACAGATGAGAAAGTGAGCTGGGACTCCCGGACTGGACCTGATGTGACCGACCCTACACCCTACCATACAGGTAGTGGGGTCTCTCATTGAGAGAGGAACAGAGTCTTGCACTGAAAAGGGGGCAGGGGGGTGGAGACTTTGGACCCAGAGTCTGCTCTAAACTCGGCTCATTGTGTGGCCTCAGCAAGTCACTTCTCCTCTCGGGGTTGAGTCTCCTCTGTGCCGAGTGGGTACCTCTCGGCTGGCTGCACATGAGAGCCGCCGCAGAGCTCCTTAAGCCACCCGCTGCCCAAGCACCACCTGAGCCCGCTGCAGTCTCCTGGGTGCCGGCTCTGGAGAGCTCCGCTGGGGCTGGGCAGGCAGCCGGTGAGCCCCCGGCGCCAGCTCTCAGGCCTCAGGGCCTTTCTGCTCCGCATTGTCTGTCCAACGTTCTTATCTTCTGTGCTGTCTTCCCCTCGCGTGGGGCCTCGGGGTGAAAAAGAGCAGCTATTTGCTCCCTGGAAGGGTGCCTCACACAAAGCAGATGCTCACTGCCTGAGGAACAGGCCGGCTCCCTGGAACTGTCTCCTGATTTCCAACTCAGGCCGCCTTCTTTGGAGCGCACAGCATTCCACCCCCTCCGACCTTGGACACCAAGCCCAAGAATCTGCCGGGTTCCCATCTCCCCCTCCTGTCCCCTCCACCTCCTGCACTCTAGCTCGCCTTCCTTCACCACAGCCTCCACTCCTACGGCACCAGCCCTGGGTGCAACCACGGCAGTGTTTCCTCAGGGGTCTCCCCGCAGCCTCCCACCCTCCACACTGCTGCAGCCACAGGGATCCTTCTAGAACACAATTCCGATCATGTCTCTCCCTCCTTAAAAAATCCCTCACTGAATATACACTATGTTCTCATTCTGAAAAAAAAAAGTTTTAACAGGTGAGTAGGTAAAAAGAATTCGTACCAAAATGTTAACAGTGGTTTCTTCTGGGGGTAGGAATAAAAGAATTTGTGCATCTTTCTGCCTTTTTCCAAGTTTCCAAATTTTCTACAATGTGAACATGTATTACTTTTTTAATTAAGGGGGAACAACCATAAATCTATTTAAAACCCTCACTGGTTCCCTGTCACCTACAGAAGGAGGTCCATCTTCCCAGCCCACATCCTTCCAGTGGCTGCTCCGG